GGGCATTACCGCCCCCTGGTGGGCGCTGCAGCAATCGGGGGGGGGGCTGTAATGGCCACAGGTGCATTTGGGAGTGATGAATAACTGTAAGGGGGCGTTGAAAGCACAAAAGAAAGAAGAGAAGATTTAGAAAAATTGATTTCCAGGAGGTAGGCCAAATAAGTTTGGGAACCACTGCTTTAGACTCTAACTAACTTCTTTGCTTATGTCTCAGGAGTAAGCCAATCTGAACACTAATGTAGAAATTTTCACATGCGCAGGAGGGATGCATTGCAAACTGATCAGAAAGGTGCAGTGATGTTTCTTGTACATTTACACAATGTGCAGTTCTTATAGTCAGATGGTATGGATCAGCATTTAGGAAGAATATAGAAAGAGATCTCATGCTTAGTGAGAACTTATTAAGAACCATACAAAGTCTATCTAGGACAACACTGTACACAGATTGGCATCTGCTTCTAAGTTTTCAGAGAAGATGCTGGAGATTGAATCCAGGATGTAGCTTCAATTTACGTTATGAATGGAAGAATTTTGAAAGTATTTGTAACTTTCAAAAAAACATTTCTGGAGTGTCGAGAAACCCGACAATAAACACCATGGACTGATGAAAATCTTTGCAGTTTGGGGTCTTAAGACTTTATTTAAAATTTGTATGTATGTGATTGCTTTTCTGTAATCAAAACCATATTTTCTGAACAAAAACTGTTAATTGTGCAGGAAAAAATTGAATGATTTCCCAACTAAAATATTTTCTGCACAGAAAATAATATTACTCGCTGCATGAAAAACTCTGTTTTCTCTGCAAAAAAAAATTGCAACATGTAAATTTTTCCATAAAACAAATGCCAAAGTGAGAATATTCCTCAAAAACAGTGTAGTTCACAGAGAGAAGAAATTTTCTAAAATTCCTCACCAATTCTTTCAGGAAGAAAAGTTGTAAAGAAGTGTGTGCTTACCAGTCAACTTGAGGTCTTCCCCAGAAAGTGATTGCATGGAGCAAGCAAATGGCTGCACTAGCTCTTTCCTCCCCTGTTTTTTCTAGGGGCATCATGTTGGAAAGAGAAACACCACCTATTAAGGAACTCTTGTTTTTGTTTATGACATATTTATGTACATGTATGTACAAGAGTGCACATTCATGAAGTATTTCTTCAGTCCTTGAAAAGATGCTAAGTACCTCCTGACCCTCAGAAGTGTAACCTCTTTTCTCCTAAGTTCTCTACTCAGACCCACAAATTCACATTTTACATGCATATGGTAGCTGTCAGACTATAGCAGAACCCATTTGACATTGACCTTTCTTAATTAAAGCTACCAAAACAATATTGATATGTTTGTTGAACCAGTGTTCACATGCATCTTTCCTCACTGGTGGTTCTGAAATTAGCAAGCATTAATATCCTTCTCTCACCCTAAACTGGGTTTAAATATGCAATTTTTGGGATCTTGGGTACTTTCCCCACAGACTTAATTGATCTTTATGGCTTCGGTAAACATTAGTACATTGCAAAGAAAGGCTTTGGGACAGACAAGCAGCTGTATTCTAACACCTGGCACAACAGTCGTCAGAATGAATGCTCTCAGTCTCCTCTTTATACATCTAATAGATATTCTGATGAATAATGGATGGTGTGAGAGCATACATATCCTTCGGGGTTATATGAGTAAGTGAGGACATTATGAACTTACATGAATTACTGTGTAAACACTGACTGATAATACCAGATCGAAAGGCCTTTGAGAAAGGAATGACATCCAACCTGCTTTTATTTCATTGAATAGAGGCACTTATTTGACTGAAAAATTTGAAATGCCCTTTCCTATAGGACAAAACCATGCCAGGTTTAAATGGGGAATTACGGCAAATAAGTTGAGATAGAAATGTTTCTAATTAATATTGTCATATCCTAACATCAGCTTTAGGATGTGGCATAAATCCAAATCATTGTTTTAGAAATAGTGTCTATTTTTGCAATTTTTTTTACAATGTCATGCTTTCAGTTAAATGTTGATATATTGTACCACGAATTGTTAGCTGCAGTTAATTTGGCACTTTTAAAAATGTCCATTCCTACTGCTCTGGAGCATTTCCTTTAAATTAATGGTCAATCAGGATGTCAAAAAATATATCCAGCATTCAAGGACTGAGTGAAATGATTGACAGCACATGCATTGTGAAGACATAATGAATTTTCAGCATGAATCTGCATAAATATATGGGAGGAAGTTTGCTTTCTGAACCCCCCCCCCCCATTTATCCGTTTGAGCTGCAAGAATTGGAACGAGTTCTGCTGTTCACATGGGCCACTGCCACCATCCATTTCCATGCTCAGGAGTATAGAGGAAATGGGGTGACAATTACCTTGTCTGTCATTCATCATTATAGTGGTGGCCTTGGAGCTGCAGAGAGCTTGGATCTGTTGCTTGCTGCTCTTGCCAATGCAAACAAAGGCACCCATGGTACTTGTAAAGGGGAGGGGTGCCTTTGCTCACATTTGCAAGGGTGCTGAGCGATGGCACCAAGCACTCTGCATCTCTGAGGCCACAGCTATAGCAGTGAAAAATGGACAGTATGAGTGACTGTCCAGTGGACAGTGAGGATTCTACTCCCACTGCTGATGCGGCTTAGAAGCAGAGTTGTGTGAACAACAAGGCAGAATCTGGGGCTCATCCAAAGCATCGAAGCCCTGGATTTTGTTGCTTGTGAAGATGCACCTAGAACACAGGACAATTGATTTAAACTACAGGAAAAAGAGATCCCACTTACACTTTAAGAAGGGAATTGGACTGCATGGCCTTTGTGACCTTTTACAACTCTCTGTTCCTACAATGTGATGAACTAGAACTTTATATTCATAGGGAATAAACTTGGTATCATGAACTGTTTGGAGGTTCCATGGAGATTGTGGGCAGCATGTCTGGGATGAAGAAAGAAGGAGATGGGGAAAGCAGAGAGTTTTCTGTGTCATGCCTGTTCTGGTTTTTCTGCTTCAACCTCTTGAAAAGAGAGGTTAAATGTTGATCTCTTTTTCCTTCCTTCCCTCTTTTTTCACAATGTTATTTTATGAATGCCTTCTTGCAATTCTTTCACTCTTCAGACTTACCTAAGTATTACTTACCATTCAGCAGACTTTTTAATCCATTGGCACTACTTCAGATCCAAATGAATTTATGAATATGTTATTCTCATGTTGATAAGTAGGGGTGGTGACACAGTGAAATGAAAAGGAATAAAAAGTAGAATGTGCACATAGCATTGAACTGTTGAAATACAATACATCAAGAGTCTTTGTCTCTCCTTAATCTTAGGTTGGAATAAAGTGGCCCACAAAAGTTCACATGTTAGTTTTTAAGGTTCCACAATATTTTCTGCTGGGTTTCTTGCAACAGATTAATATGGCTTCTCATCAGGATGTTAATACTTAAATATACACCTGTATCCAGGATTTCTAATGCAGATTTCCAATAAGGAAAGAAAAAAAAGATAATATACATGTGCATAACTATAGCAGAACCCATTTGACATTGGCCTTTCTTAATTCTTAAAGCTACCAGAACAATATTGATATGTTTGTTTAACCAATGTTCACATGTATCTTTCCTCACTGGTGGTTCTGAAATTGGTAAGCATTAATATCCTTATCTTTCCCTAATGCACATATATGCACATACACATTATTTTGGATGGGATGCAGAAAGGTTATTCATTTGTTCATTGTGTTTCACTCAAAATCTTTCCTTCAGCCAGATGTTACAGCTGTTAAATGCCTGGAGGAGGCTGATGGAGGTAACAAAGAACTGAATTTCATTCCTGCTGTAGTTCATTTGTTCTGAGAGGGGTCATGTTCTACCCTCCTCCCCCCACTCCATTGAAGAACTGCATTAGGAATAGGGAGGATTCCTTAGTGTTTGGTCATCACCCTTCTTGTCCTCCAGCCACTAATGGCCATCCCAGTGATCTTCTCTGAGGGCAATTGTGATGGGGTGGGTAGAGCAATGGAACTGCAGATATGGAGCTTAAGGATTAAAACACAGTGTACCACACACACAGAGAGAAATATGTAATGGATTAAGTGAAAGTGACTGACAAAGATGGACGACAGAAATAAATAAGAAGGATTATGTCAAGTCAAATGAAAACCAAGCCCACCTCATTAACACACAACAATCAGGATAGTACAGAAAGAATAAAGAGAAGAGGAAGATATAATAAGAAACATTAAGATTCATTTTTTGTTTTTATAATACTTAGTGTAAAGCAGTTATAGTAAGTTATCCAGGCTGGAAGGCAATAGGGGGGTCAGGCTGATAGAACATCAGTATCATGGCTTGTGGTTAAGACAATTCTCAGAAAGTTATGCAATGCCCTAATACCCTTCCAAAGGTTCTCTTTATAAAGCTGTCTACTTCAGGTTTTTTCTGCCTGCCACCAAGAAGTGCTCCATTTACAAAATAGTCACATCTGCAGTTTTGTTCCACTTCGTTGAACAATGTCCCCACCCAAAGTCTCAAAAAAGCATTGCTGAATAGGTTGACCTTTTTTTCCTCATTCAAAGAATAGTTTGCATTTTTATTTTTACCTTTAATTACAGACACACTTCCTCAGGTTTGTGGTTTCATCTCTCTACTTCATAAACTACCATTCTTCACATCTATGCTAAGCTGTATGGGTGTGATCCCATATAGTTGTGCTATACATATGAATGCTACATCCATAGTCTGGGTAGACAACTATGCAAGACTTTGTCAGAGATTGGAATAGTTACTATTTATATTACAACCTCCACAACCCACCAACAAACATAACAACTGTTCCTTTGAGATTCTGGGAACTGTAATCCCCAAAAGTTATTTTCCCAGGCTCTGACTCTCATCTACTGGCTGCTTCCCAGTAAGAACCCATAAGTTGGAATTCACACGTATTCATACTTAGTATTTCAGCCTTCATGAATGAACAGAAGAGTAATTATGTCTGCATATAAAATGAAAGAGAGAGTTATGATGGGTTAGTCGAGCTTTATTTGCTCCATGATGTAATTTGCATTGTCCGTTTTTTTAATTTTGAACCAAATATACAATATTGGATCAGGCAAAATATAATCAATAAATATAATTTCGTTATCATGGGAAATAAAATGGCCAGCTATCAGAACACCCCTACTCCCAACTGTTGTGTGCTTATAAGCTGCAAAGTTAAACATTTTTTCACCCATGTAGAAAACATTTCTGAATAATTATTAATACTTTGTAAATTTTGGTATCTAATACAGGTTGAGTGGCTCTTATCCAAAATGTTTGGGATGAAAAATGCTTTGTTATTCTGGACCCCCCCCCCCCCGATTTTGGAATGCCTTCTGTCATGTCACAGATCTTTGTGTCAAGTTCAAATCTCATTTGTTTGCTACTTGTGATATCAATGTGAAGGTGGAGGGACTGTTATGAGGGGCGGCTATAAGGAGGAGCATATGGCCAGTATTGTGGCAGCCAGCCATGAAGAGGAAGCAGAGGGAGAGTTAAAGGAGATATAGGATGAAGATGGGGGAGAGAAAAGGAATGGAAAAGAGAGAGAAGAAAAACAATGAAAAAACAACAATAAAGAGAAAAAAACTAGAAACGTGGACCAATCTTCTCCAATCCTACCCCAAGGGGAAGAAAAAAGAGGCTTCACTATCCCTCACCTCCTGAGGAACAAGAGGAAAGAAATAGAAGAAAATAATGGGATAGAATGAAGACATGAAAAGGAGGGAGCACTTCACCTCCTATTGTGCCACCCCCCACAGTCCCCCTCAAAAGAAAAGGCTTAGGAAGGAAAAAGGGAAAAAGTGTGTGTGTGTGTGGGGGGGGGGGGCAAGGGACAGAGATGGACTTTGAAGAATCAATGCCTCCCACCATTTTAAGTCTTGCTTTAGTATCTCAGTCTCTCTCCAGCCTCATGTTTAATATAATATGAGGTTGGAGAGAGAATGAGGACCTGAAAGATGAACAAGCAGGAACACTACCTCCACTGCCCTGAAGTTGAAGCAGACGGCTGATGGCAAAAAGTTTCATTTCTTTGGAGGTTTTTGGATTTTTGGACAAGGGGGGCTCAACCTGTATTGTTAATTGTTTATTTTCTTTGATCCATGAGGTGATGGATGCAGCACGAGGACTGTGCTTTTTTATGTCTGAAAGATACCTTTATGACTTGCCAATCGATCAGTAGGCATGTGTGTTCCCAGGTGGGCAAGTAAAAAGTTACCATAGAGATTGGACGAACCCAGGAACATAACACAGTATAACAAACTGTAAAGTAAAAGAATTATGTTCATAAATAAAAAATGAAATGCTTATAAAATTAAAATATCTGTTTCAGTTCAGTGGTCATCACGGTGAAGAAAAAATAAGGAGCATTCCATGAAGTCATACAGAATTAATAAAATAGTGTCTTTCAAAGATTACTTTCTATGAAAGCAACCCCCTTACTTATATACAAATATTTCAATTGTAAATCTCTGATTATAAGCAAGGCAATGAAGTAGGGGTGGAAAGAAAAGTTTGAGAAATACACAAACATGATTGAAAAACAGATTTATTAAGTGTCAGTAAACCTTCATAAGGAGAATACTGGATGGGGAAGAATTTTTGCTAGTCAGGACTTATTCTGTGTAAATAAAAGCATGTTTTTAAATATAAGAATACAGCAATTTCTGCACAGAAAACAAGTTTTTGTAAATAGAAAGCAGCATTTTTGTGCAAAAATATAAACAAATAAACATTTTGGTGGAAAATAAGTTGCTATTTTAATAAGTTGTTATAAAGGATTGATATTTTCTACATAGGAAATAGCAATTCTTGTGCAGAAAATATTTCTACTTGTTAACAGAAACCTATTTTCTGCACAGAAAAGGGCCTTTTCTGAGTTAAAGAGCATTATTTTGACAGAATAGTTCCTGAATGGCAAATACACAGTTTGCAACTATTTTATCATAACGAGAAAAATGTCCAAATTATTATGGCAGGGGGTTGGACTGGATGGCCCATGAGGTCCCTTCCAACTCCATGAGTCTATGATTTATTATTGCCAGTGAGAATTTATCATTCTCATGTATAACTTGATAACTGATTTCTATATTTAATTTTGAACTTCTTTAAGGGCATAAAAATTACTGCAAAATTATAGCAAAATAGTAAATACCAGAGACTTATGACAGAGGAAATTTACTTACATCTGAGAAAACCTAGGAAGGATTACACTATATGCCACACAATTGGAAATTAAAATAGAGATTTCATTTATTTTAAGAAAGCTGGTTATATGTAAAGTATGAAGCCTGCTAAATATAAAATGACTTTAACTTTGGCCTTGCAAATTCGCTTCCTTTTTTCTATATTAAGGTCACATATCCATGATTTTTAGAACTTGAAACAGTTTATTGGCTCATTGTTGTTTCAAATAATTTTATACTGTTGTTTCTCTAAATAAAAAAGTGGAGAAGTATTATTAACCAATAATGTTTTAATACCTATTCAGTGTCATGATAACAGATTTTGTATATTTGAAATGCACATTTGAATATCTATGATGTTGAATTTTTTCTGTGTAACTCAGAGGTTCTGCACATTCTGGGAGCCAACCGTTCAATGTTATCATATTATAAATTTCAAAAGCATACTTATTTGGGTAAATTTACTTGTCCATTATATTATTCCTAATGTTACCTTTATGTACAAAAGTGCAAGGCAATTGATAAATATCTCCTAGTTATTTAATGACTATAGATTCTTTTGCTGGTAAAAACGATCTTAAATACTAGCTTTGAAACTTATTTCAGAAATATGTTTTAATTAATTATTCCTGATTTACAATTCCCCAATTATTTTTTTTTCTTGTTAAAAGTTACCCCTGAGATTTAGGGTTTATAGTCAAATGGTTATCAAGCTTTAAAAAGGAAAGGAAAAGGAAAAATAAATAGAGAATGTAAAAAGTGCTGACATTGTGCAAAATATAAGTAAGGACATTGGAGATCACTATTAAGGCAATACAGTTTGTGGGGTACTTATACAATTATGACTTAACATTATATATGTCATCTGGGCTTTTTAGTCTTTTGTTAACAAAATAGTACTTTAGCCTTCATTTATATTTTAATGGCAAGGATAAATTCATTGCAAATGGCATGCAGATAAAAGGGAATAATTTAAAATTAAGGGTTGCTTGATCTAATACATAATAGTTTGGACACAGTCGTGTATTAATTTTGGAAACAAGCACTTTTCCAAAAAGGAGGAGGGGGAGGAGTAGACAAAGGGAAGGAATAAAAGGATGGAGGAGGATGAGGAGAAGGAGGGAGGAGAAAACAAAAAGAACAAAAAACAAAATCCTTAGCAGCCTCCTTATAAATATTGTAAATACATACTTCTTAGCAAGTATAGAAAAATAGTGTTTTTGATAAAGTACTCTGATTTACATAACAAAGAACGTGCAACAATTAACCACTCGCTACCAGCTCTATTTGGTTGATTGTCAAGGAGATGACATGCAGTGGTAATTGTCCCTTTGCTTTTACAGCATTGCCATAAATACCAGCAGGAGCCTATATCCCCTGAAGCAGACAGTACCATAGATATTGTCTGGAAGCAACAATCAAGCACTAAGGGAGGGAAAACCCTCTGCTTCACACAAAGAAGCTCCTCAGTCCTCTTTGACCAGATACTTTGGCTCTCAGGAGTGGCAGGGCATCATAAAAGTCTGTTGAGCAGTCCAGTTGATTTACATTTGAGTACAAAAGGCTTTTCAGTGTGCTTCTTAAAACCTGGAAACCTGTTTCTCTTCATGCAAATTAGGTAAACCTTTATCTTTCTGCTGCTCTCCCAACAAGGTGAATTTTCAGGTTTGCTAATTTCCATGGGCATTCAAGAAAAGGCAAAAATGTCATGCAGTACTGGATAAGCGTACAGCTGGCAGTTGTGGAGCATGCTTAAAGTAATGCTTCATTAGTTTCATTATACATTTATGGCTTTACTATCTTGAACATCCACGGAGCTTGTCTTAAAATCTGGAGGCAAATCTTCGGTGGTCTGTGCAGCTGCTGTTCCTGTTGTTCCTTCCAGGTCCCAAGACCCCGGCAGGTTCTCAAGACTTAGCGAACTGACCGCGCCCTGACTAAAGCTGCCTTCTTCGGATCGACTAGGCAGCACAAGGTGTAAGGATGTCTCTGACGATGAACACATGGAGGACGACAGAGTGGCTGAAATAGACTGGAGAGGAGTCAAAGTGGTGTCTGAAGGTGGAGAGGTGCAACTCACTAACTGTAAATGATCTTTTTGAATTACGTGGTAGTGGGACGGGGAATATTCAAGGCCTGAAGTGTAATAAAATTCCCCATCTGTAGAGGTCTGAATGTGTGGCTCAGTTCTTTGTGGACTGCTACCTACTGAGGTTGGATCCATACTCCAGAAACCAGCTATTGTATTGGAATGACAGAGTTGTGTTTTGGTGCAAGTAACATTTGGAACCTGACTATGCAGGCATGGTTGATGTTTAGTCCAAGTCATTCTGGTCTGTAAGTTGTCCATGCTGGTACTCATGGCTGGACCATGCACCGCACAGAACTCCGGGGACTTCTGTGACACCAAGAGACTTTCCAGGAGATGCATCACATTCTTCATGTCCTTAGTTAACTGGGAGACCTCTTGAGTCAAAGTAGTTACCTGAAATATTAAAAACAAGACATATGTATTTGCAGATCATAATTCAAAGTAAATAGCGAATAATTATGATTGTGATGGTGATTATTGTCTCCGTTTCATAGCTTTACCCATCTTTCTTATTACAGTTATAAACTTATTGCAGATAGTTGCAAGTTTCTCATTAAAACATTTTCAGATCAAGTAAATTAACTGATATGCATTAGCTTCTGTATTGTATACATGTAATTTGTGGTTTGGTAACAATATAATATTAAATGAGTTCAAGTCCCCAGGGCCAGATCAACTACACCCAAGAGTATTGAAGGAACTAGCAGAAGTCATTTCAGAACCATTGGCAACCATATTTGAGAGTTCTTGGAGAACGGGAGAAGTTCCAGCAGATTGGAGGAGGGCCAATGTGGTCCCAATCTTCAAGAAGGGAAAAAAGGATGACCCAAACAACTACCGTCCGGTCAGCCTCACGTCGATACCAGGCAAGATTCTGGAAAAGATTGTTAGGGAAGTGGTCTGCAAACACTTAGAAACAAATGCGGTCATCGCTAATAGTCAACATGGATTTATCAAAAACAAGTCATGCCAGACTAATCTGATCTCTTTTTTCGATAGAGTTACAAGCTGGGTAGATGCGGGGAATGCCGTGGATGTAGAGTACCTGGATTTCAGTAAGGCCTTCGACAAGGTCCCCCATGACCTTCTGGCAAGGAAACTAGTCCAATGTGGGCTAGGCAAAACTACGGTGAGGTGGATCAGTAATTGGTTAAATGGATGAACCCAGAGGGTGCTCACCAATGCTTCCTCTTCATCCTGGAAAGAAGTGACAAGTGAAGTGCCGCAGGGTTCCGTCCTGGGCCCGGTCCTGTTCAACATCTTTATTAATGACTTAGATGAAGGGTTAGAAGGCAGGATCATCAAGTTTGCAGACGACACCAAATTGGGAGGGATAGCCAATACTCCAGAGGACAGGAGCAGGACTCAAAACGATCTTGACAGATTAGAGAGATGGGCCAAAACTAACAAAATGAAGTTCAACAGTGACAAATGCAAGATACTCCACTTTGGCAGGAAAAACGAAATGCAAAGATACAGAATGGGGGATGCCTGGCTTGAGAGCAGTACGTGTGAAAAAGATCTTGGAGTCCTCGTGGACAACAAGTTAAACATGAGCCAACAATGTGATGTGGCAGCAAAAAAAGCCAATGGGATTTTGGCCTGCATCAATAGGAGCATAGTGTCTAGATCTAAGGAAGTAATGCTACCCCTCTATTCTGCTTTGGTTAGACCACAACTGGAATATTGTGTCCAATTCTGGGCACCACAATTCAAGAGAGATATTGACAAGCTGGAATGTGTCCAGAGGAGGGCGACTAAAATGGTCAAGGGTCTGGAGAACAAGCCCTATGAGGAGCGGCTTAAAGGAGCTGGGCATGTTTAGCCTGAAGAAGAGAAGGCTGAGAGGAGATATGATAGCCATGTATAAATATGTGAGAGGAAGCCACAGGGAGGAGGGAGCAAGCTTGTTTTCCTCTTCCCTGGAGACTAGGACGCAATGGAACAATGGCTTCAAACTACAAGAGAGGAGATTACATCTGAACATGAGGAAGAACTTCCTGACTGTGAGAGCCGTTCAGCAGTGGAACTCTCTGCCCAGGAGTGTGGTGGAGGCTCCTTCTTTGGAAGCTTTTAAACAGAGGCTGGATGGCCATCTGTCAGGGGTGTTTTTTAGTCTGCTTCTTGGCAGGGGGTTGGACTGGATGGCCCATGAGGTCTCTTCCAACTCTTTGATTCTATGATTCTATGAAACCAGTAACATTATAACTGTTTGTTTTTAGTTCTATGTGAGAGAAAATCAAAGTAAATGTTTTTTCCACAGAAGTAAAACAGACTAACAGAATGAATGAAATAAGCTTAAAATTTAGTTTGTATGATTTATTTTAGAGCTAAATACAATGATAATAAAGGATAGCTATTTTACAAGGTCAAAAAATCATTTGCATGTGTTTATTATTTATTCTTGTACCAGTAACCAAAGTTCTGGAGATAGTAAGATGTTCCCTAGGAAAAGAAGCATATTTCATGGAGCTGAATTACACAATGCATGACTACATCTCTCTTTTTTTAAAAGAAGAACCACTGCCGCAATATGTAATCATCATCATCATCATCATCATCATTATCACTACCCCACTATCATCTCCCCAGAGGGACTAGGGGCAGCTCACAGAAGCACTCCAAGTGTCACATGCAGCCAACAATAAAAAGTAAAAGTTTTCCCCTGACATTCAGGTCAGTCATGTCCTACTCTGGGGGTTGGTGCTCATCTCCATTTCTAAGCCCAAGAGCTGGCATTGTACGTAGACACCTCCAAGGTCATGTGGCTGGCTTGACTGCATGGAGCACCACTATCTTCCTGCTGGAGTGGTACCTATTGATCTACTCATATTTGCATGTTTTCGAACTGCTAGATTGGGACAAGCTAGGGATAACAGCAGGAGCTCATGCCACTCTCTGGATTCAAACTTCCAACCTTTCAGTTAGCAAGTTCAGCAGCTCAGTGGTTTAACCCACTGTGCCATCAGGGGCTCTGCAGAAAACAATACACAAGTATAAATACAATGGAATAAGCATAATTGATAACCCATAAACATCTCATTGATAAAATTATAAAAATATGAAAATTTAAAATTCCTAAAATGCAGTGGAACGTGCGGGCTGGTTATCTGTCATAACAATCAATCAAAGTGTGGGCCAGTACTATCAATGATTCATCATGTTGGCCATGGCTTACTCAGGATCAAAGGCCTGTCTGAAGAGCCATGTTTTTAGACTCAACTGGAAGGTCTGAAGAGAGGGGGCTAATCTAATTTCTTAGGGGGTGTATTCCAGAGCCGGGGAGCCACCACCAAGAAGGCCCTTTCTCTTGTTCCCACCAACCGTGCTTGAGGCGGCTGAAAGAAGGGCCTCCCTAGCAGATCTTAATGCCCATGCTCGTTTGTAGAAGAAGAAGCTGTCTCAAAGATAAATTGGACCCAAAGCATATAGGGCTTTATAGGTATCACCTGCACTTTGTATTGGGCCTGAAAACCTATCAGGAACCAGTGGGGCTGCTTTAAAAAGGGGGTGGTATGCTTCCTAAAGTCTGCCCCAGTTAATAATCTGGCTGCCGCTCTTTACACTAGCTGAAGTTTCCGGATCATCTTCAAAGGCAGCCCCATTCTGGATGTAAATAAGGGGTGGACCACCATGGCCAAATCAGGCTTCTTGAGGTACAGTCGCAGCTGGCACACAAGTTTTAACTGTGCAAAACCACTCTTGCACCGTTGAAATAAGACAAAGGACAACAAAAGGAGAATTCACATTTCCTTCCTGCACCATGTCATCTCAAAATTCAAACTCTCATTGGTTCCCAAACATGCTATTTAGTTCAGATTGCCACGGTGGAGACAAATCACTGCTTCAAGGTGCAGTCTACAATTATCTATGGCTGCCTTCTTCCACCGAAATCAATGAAGCTACAACATCAAGTACTCTAAACAGAGTGAAACATGTACTAAACCTAAACAGAAACATCTTACACTAGTTGATAAGCAGCAAGCCGAAAAAGCAAATAAAGGAAGCGAGTTAAAAATTAGTTCTGTTTTGCTCTCAGCAGCAGCAAATCAATTTATTTTAGGCTAGATTACTGTCATTGTAGCCACAGAATTAAACTTGCACAGTTCTTCAAAATGATAACAGTGAAAGTAATCTGGAGAAAGTCAGACAAGACCATACATTACATTTCCAGATAATGAATCTACCTGTTGGGAATAAGGAAAGATAATAATGATGGATTTGATTTTCTTTAAACCAAAGAACTATCTGATTTAGTGTGTGACCTGTACAACTCAACCTGCTCATTACTACAAATTCAGCACATGCAGATGTCAGAGGGAAGGGAAATCAAGTAGCCATGGAGAAGATCTGTCCACCTTTTTTCAGGAATAAGCCAAGGTCTGTAAATGAGGAAGTGTACTGCACATCCTTGCTGTAATTTAGTAGAGGGTACCTCCTGATACTACTGTGATTGCTTAATTTCAGTGATGTGGTGACAGCTGTGAAACCAAGGCACAAAAATGTTATCCACTTCATTTCATGGAGGATTTCCATGTTGCTTGGTATGAAGAAAATTGTTGGCCTTTTAGTTTTGCTGTAAAATTAAATACCATGGCAACAAATTGGGCAGTCACAAAGGGTATCAAGGACAATGTGTGATCAAAATATTGCACACTATGATTTATGATACAAAAATCAGACCCTGGAAAATTTCCTGAAAAAACAATCAGAACTTTGTAAAAGAGTTACATTTCTTACCTAGCATGATGACTGGCAGAAAGGCATAGTTACCAAAATGAGATATTTAATGTAGATATATTGAAAACACAAGCTGAGCTACACTTTTCAGGAAAGGTCTTCATAAGCTTATTGAAAGATTGCTCCTAAAAGTAATTTTGCCTCTGAATGATATTAGATATAGATGTGATAGGAAGACAAATCTGTTTTGCTTTGCTTGGATCATCAAATGCAAATATATTTCTAATTTTCTCAGTTTCAGTGTACTTAGTTGGCTTCTTCACCTAAACGAGGATGTGGAATACTATTTTACAGTGTGCTCCTTCAGTTCATTGGGCTTCAAATGGGGAAATGAGAGAAAGAATCCCAAACAGTGGCTTCTAAAATGACATTATAGATTGTTTAACTTCACAGATATTTATTTATTTATTTATTTATTTGATGTACTTATTGACCGCCATTCTCAGCCCTTACGGGCGACTCATGGCGGTGTACAGTACACATAAAAGACAAATTACAAAACCGGAATCGACAACATATAACTATACCACAACTTACAGACTACACAAAAATCCGCTTCGTCTCTTAATGGAATCATAACCAATCTCATCATCCTTGTACCATTCCAGTTCTCATTACCGTATTATTTGTGCTTAGCACTTAATTAAATGCCC